CTAAGACTATATCTAGTCTCATATCACAGTATCAATACAATATTGATATATTGCCTAGCACTATGTTTCATGTATAGATCAGCTTTTATAGGTGCACCAAAAAAAATGAACTACATCAATCCTCTCCAATTATAGTTTGTTGACCTTCATTGGAGCCCCAGAATCCACAGTTTTTCTAACGGACATATCTGACTGTGTGTGAGCTTGCTATTTCCAGAGTGGCATATTATTCCACATTTTCAGAGATCAAAAATCCCCTAACAAACTCTCATGAATACATAATGACTGTAGCAGTGGGATTGAAGCTGAAATTACATTAGCATACCACCCCCTTAGGCCTGCACCATCCAACAGAGTTGTGTATTACACGCTTGATTCTCCGTACACAACCGGCTCTGGGGTGGAGAGAGCCATGACCAACCGCTGGCCATTCATCGGACCAGTGGTTCACCAGCTGTTTTCAGTGTGGCCATTAACATCAAATCCCCATGGAGAGTGTAGAGGCTCTGCAGGGCCTCAAGATGTTGCAGTTGTTTGGGCTGGTGTCTGTGTGGGTAAAGCTGTGACCAGCCATATGTCCCATCCAACACCAGCTCAGCCCTGCTCACACTGGCTCACATGATGGGATGACTGGAATAAAATGGCCGAATGGAGATACTGAAGGGGTGGAGGAGGGGTAAGAAGGGTAGGAGAAGGATGGATGATGGAGGAGTATAAAAATAGAAAAAAGGAAGCATGATGAATAGGAGGAGAAGCTGATTTTTCCCCCTTGTAGATCATCATGCCTCGTAGCCTATATATTTAATCAGACCTTTCCCATGGCATCTCTGTTTGTAGTACAGTACAGTGTAGTACATTGTGTTCTATGGAGCATATCAGTAGCCTGCGGGAATCAAACCAGAGTGGAAGAGTGAAGATGCAAGCTCACTTTAGCTGCATTAGATCATGTTTGAGTGATTAACCAACGCTGACAGGGCACCACTGATGAAGTAATAGATGTCACAGGACCGCACACTGGCAACAAAAAGTAAAGGGAGTCACAGGGAGAGTAATCGGTACCCAGTGTTGGCAGGGTGGGGTGACATTCAGGATTTTCTGCTTTCTGTATTATTTCTCCAGGGACTGTTTAACAACATACTTCCCTTTCTCTCCGTTTCTTTGACCCTGTTGTGCCTGACTGTAGCTGTAATGTAATATTCTATAAAGATGTTTAACTTAAACAGGAAGAGTCGTTATTAGGAATTGTGTCCTGATAATAACCTACACAGCAAGTTGAGCTGTACAGACACGGGCAACTACTGTTTTACAGCAAAGAAGCATTGATTTCTGGGAAAGAGTGTAACGTTAGCTGATAGCAAAATGTTAAATTAGATAATAAAAGAAAGTTCTATGGCATTTATTTGATGTATGAATCTGTTCATGTTTTACAAAAGGTTCAACTTGAGCCATGCTGTGCAACGATAGCAGTCATTTCACAGCCATACAGGGTCAGAAGTATACAGTTGTTAATTTTTTTTCAATGACATGATATCAGATCGGTACTGTGCATCAGCTGATACACAAGTTCAGGAATCATAATCAATATCAGGGAGGATAAAATGGTACAGAAACATCTCTACAGTATTTCACTTTACGTGTCTACTTTCATTTATTTAAAATGTGTGGTTGATGTCAAGAGTGAAACACTTCCTGACCAGCAAATGTACTGTTAAAACTTTCATTACATTTGTATGGGTTTTATTGACAATTTTTACAAATATTGTACCATATATTGGTAAATGACAGTAGTTCATGATGAATTATTCCGTGGATTAATTTGCTATTGGTTGATTATTGGAAGAGTTGATTAACAGAAAAATATTCAAAAGTCCTTTGACAATCTTTTGCCATGTTTTTAAAGCAAAAATGCCTAAACTTTATTGTTTGTTGCCTGAAGAAAATATTTTTCATGTTCATCGATAAAGAAATTTGAGATACTGGTTCAAGGCAATTTTTTGCATTCTCCATTTGCCGTTGAGGTAGTGAGATGTTTTCTTCAATGTAACACACTGAATTAAAATTGATATACAAATGGTCATTTTGTAGGTGAAATATTCCTTTTATTAGTTTCTTACAATTTTTGAACTTAACTTAAAACTTAAATGTAAGACTGAAACTTTAGATTGTGTGTTTGCAGGGCGGATTGCTCACACTACTTGAAGACTTTAAACCGTTGAGTGTGATTGATGCAGTAATACACCCATGTCAAGGTGGATCACTCTCAGGATGAGTTAATGCTGTATAGATAACTCTGGCTCATAGCACGCTTCGCGTGCTTGTGTCATTGTGTCCTCGTAGAGTTGTGCTCAATGAGACGTGATGACTCCATTTGTGCAGAAATTACACGATCGACTGGTTGATTGATGTCAGTTATGACAGGCGTGTAAGTCACCTAAATTGATCCTCTGCATTTTAGAGTGCCTATGAATACTCTGCTGGGTCAAGACTCATCTTGACATCATCCATTCGTCCCTGATCCCTCACAGATGAAGTGACTAACCAGTCTGATTCTCTCAGTGCCCACATGTCTGTCTCATGATTGCTTCCTGTCTCCTCCACAGCAGCTCAGTGTCATCTTCCTAGAGAAGTGATATGATGAACAAGACGATGACAAAAGCGGCATGGATGTGGCTGCTTTGTGTTTTTAGGGCCAAGCCTAACACCCATTATAATCCTTTTTACATAAAGACAAGCCATGTGGGTGGCAGGCAAACATGCTGTCAGGAGAGGGATATGTACTGATGTTGAGGACATATGGTGGGAAGACATTACAATGGTCTGTTCAAATCTGATTGCAGCTACTGTGGCAAACAATGACAGGATCAGAGGGAAAATCCTGCATCACTGTTTCTCGACAATGATTTATTGCTGTGTTCTGAGCTTAAAAATGTTCTGAGGATAAAGACAGCAAGACGCTGCAAACATTTTTCACTTCCAGGGCTGTGTACTGTGTAAAGTATTACATGCCGGATTAAAGGGAATGAACTGTGTTTCATCGGTTTTTATCCAAAATCCAATCTTGAGGTTTCTTGGTACGTGGATCAGATGTGTCGTTTTATATGCTCATATCTAGGTCAATACTGAACAAAGCCTCAGTGATCTGTGTAAACTGATATATGTTTTTGTATAAACTTCTCAGTGTTATAGTCTAACCCAGCTGCTCCTCCTCTGACTCCTGTCAGTGTAGCAGCATCTGAATGTGGCAGAAATTCAACAATCTTTCTCTTTAAGTGTCTTCAGAAATACACAGAGATAAATTTGGTTCTGTTTAGCCAGTCTTAACATATTTCCAACTTACTCCCTTCAACAAACATCAGTTAACAGTGGACAGTGTGTGTGTGTCCGTCTCTCCAGTTTATGTCCCCTTAAGAGGGAGAACAAAATGTTGAACTTGTTTAAACCACAGTGACATGTCCTCCTTAATATCCACCCCTCAAACAAACAGAGACAAATTGCCCCCTGCCTGTCCTCTTCTCACCCGTCCCTTCCCCCTCCCTGTCCCTGTCTGTCATATAGACCTCTGTCTTTAAATTTTGGGGGAGGGCGGGTTGCATGTGTCTGACTGACTTGGGTGTGGCTCGGGGCCTTTCTGTTAAACACACCAACACAGAGGGCATAGGCAAATTCATGCATCCAGAAACATGTAACCATGCACTGTTGGACATATGGATTTGTATATATGCTTTCCCACTTACTCATTCATGTACATACACACACACACACACACACACACACACACACACACACACATACATCAGACACTCTGCTGGGCATTTGCATATTAACAACTCGCCCCACAGATGCTTCCTGCGCTCACAACGCCTCTTGGCTCAGTTTATATGTGTGAGACCATTATTGTGCTGGTACGTGGGTGTGTTAGCATGTAAATAATATACTTCCGTTGGTCCTTTGGCCAGTGTGTGTTTGAGTGTATGCACGTTACTGCAGTGTGTCAGTCAGTCACAGCGTGGTCCTCCATGTAACACAAAGGCCCTGTCAGCAGCAGCCCTGTGTGTGAGTGTGAATGGTGGGGGTTGACCAGCCTGTTGTGCTCCTCCTATCTGAAGGTTGGAGGGAAGGAAGAGAGGAGATGGAGGAAGGGGGAGCCTAATATCACAGGGGGTGGAGGGGATTATTAGGAAAGAGGCCAGAGTTGTTTTTATGGACTCATCTCCAGAAACTGTCAGAGGCATGCTCCACTGATCCTTTTGTTTCTCTCTTGTGAAGTTGGAGTAAAACTCTGGCTTGTTATTTTTCTGATGCCTCCATGTCTGCGACAGCCATAGCAGGGGGCATTATGTTATGGGGTTGTCCGTCCGGCCGCTCAGTTCTCACCAATGTGATATCTCAGGAATGACTTCAGGGAATTTCCTTAAATTTGGCACAAATGTCCACGTGGACTCAAGTATGACGGGATTAGATTTTGTTGGCCAAAGGTCACTGTGACCTCATAAAACATGTTTTTGGCTGTAATTCAGGAATTCTTATGCTAATTATGACAAAATTTCACGCAAATGTCTATTAGGATGAAGCCTTGACATTTTATATCCAAAAGGTCAAAGGTCAGCTTCACTGTGACATCATAATGTTCTGCAAAAACACTTTTCTGAAGAGAAGGAGAGACATTTGTTCAGATACTGAATTGGTGACACTAATCTTGGGTGTTGACCTTGAAACTGCGCTGATTGTACAGATCTTCTGTGCTGCTGGGTTGAAGATGTGTGTGTGAAGCATCCATGTTTTACCTTTTAATAAATTCCTTCAAATTCTCTACATTTGTGTTGTGATATGATTATGGATAGACACGGATGTTAACTGCAACTTGAGTAGTTGGCGGAGGCATACAACCACAAAGCAATACTTCTAGTTCCTTATCTGCTTCAAATGAAAGAGTATAATATTTTGTTCTGGTGTGTTTTATAAAGACTTAAAATTCTCTCTCTTTCTGTCTCTACCTGCAGCCGTTCCATCCCATGGTGAACCTACAGTGCTCTCCGGACCTCAGGATGTTCCTGTGTGCGCTCTACGCCCCGGTGTGTACCGAGTACGGGCGGATGACTCTGCCCTGTCGCCGCCTCTGTCTGCAGGCCAAGAGCGACTGCTACAAACTAATGGATATGTTTGGCGTCAGCTGGCCGCAGGAGATGGACTGCAACAGGTTGGAAAAACAGCAATAATTCTTTTCCCGTGGATTTATGTCAGCGGCAATAACCCTGCTGCATCAGTAATTTAAGCAGATTTTCCCATTTTGAGAGGAGTAATGCAGCAGCAGATCAGCAAGCATGTAAAAAGTCATTTATTTTGATGACCACAGAAATTAAGAGGCTTAGAGGAATACCTTGGTTTTTTTTGGTTTAATAATATATTTGTGGAATATCAAGAAGGGGCAGAACAAGTTAACATTTTAGTTGAGTTTAGTTGAATAACACAGTGTTGTTAACCCACCCCAGGCACCTGGTTGACATATAACATACACACTAGTTTGTAGGAAAAAAAATACTTGCATTACACAGAACAAAAGATATGAAACAAATAAAAATGTTACAACAAAAAATAATGAAAGAAAAATAGAATACTGACAGAAGATGTTGGGAGCTGAACAGCTGAAATTACACTGAGATCATCATCTCTGCTCTCCTCCCAGGTTCCCAGACTGTGACGAGCCCTACCCCCGTCCTGTGGACCTCCTGTCCGGCTCAGACACAACTGAATCCCCCATCTCCGTCCAGCGGGACTACGGCTTCTGGTGTCCAAGAGAACTCAAAATCGACCCAGAGCTCGGCTACACCTTCATGGGTATCCGCGACTGCTCTCCCCCCTGTCCCAACATGTACTTCACACGTGAGGAGCTGACGTTCGCCCGATACTTCATTGGAGTGGTGTCCATCGTCTGTCTGTCCGCCACCCTTTTCACCTTCCTGACTTTCCTCATTGATGTTTCGCGCTTCCGCTACCCAGAGCGTCCAATTATATTTTATGCCGTATGCTACATGATGGTGTCTCTGGTGTTCTTCCTGGGGTTTTTGCTGGAGGACAAAGTTTCCTGTAATGCAGCGAGTCCTGGGAGGTTCAGGGCTTCAACAGTGACCCAAGGCTCACATAATAAGGTAAAGAAATTTGTCCTTGACTGAGTATTTTTATGCTGGTAGTCCACTGCACAGATACTGATCCTCCATCTGTACATTCTGTCTCTGTCCCAGGCCTGCACCCTTCTCTTCATGGTGCTGTATTTCTTCACCATGGCCGGCAGTGTCTGGTGGGTCATCCTGACCATCACCTGGTTCCTGGCTGCTGTTCCCAAGTGGGGCAGTGAGGCAATAGAGAAGAAGGCCCTCCTCTTCCATGCCTGTGCCTGGGGCATCCCTGGTGTCCTCACAGTCACCCTGCTAGCCATGAACAAGATCGAGGGAGACAGTGTTAGCGGTGTTTGCTTTGTGGGGCTGTACAACTTGACAGCCCTGCGCTGGTTCCTGCTGGCCCCGCTGGGACTGGATGTAGTGGTGAGGAAGAGTAGTACAGAACAGGAGATATGTTTAAAAAAAAAAAAAAAAAAAGACTAAGTGATAACTATTTTACAAACAGATATTTTGATATTGATGCCTCACAACTTCAACTGTTACTTAAACTTTCAAGGCAGCAGGTATTCTAAGCTGTCTGTAAAACACAGTTGCTTGAAGGCTCGATTTAAGGCTCAAAGGAAGTGTGTCAACAATTGTTCAACCAGGAAGAGGGAAGAGCTTTTCTTTTCCCTGGTAGCAATCAGTACCTATCCCGTCACCAAAGAGCATCAGCGTTAAGTTCTTTGCAGTCCCTACCGCCAGTAGTGGGATGGCAGATAGCGGAAAAGCCTAAGTAACTGTGGAAAACAAAATGCAGTGTGTACTGTGTTGTTAGTTGCTTGACTCTGAATAAAACAGAAAGCAATCTGGTTTTCTATGCAGCAGTAATACCGCTTGGAAACGCTGGGGGGACAAGTTGTCTGTTTCCACTTCCACAAGATTGTTTTTCTGTCTCAAAATGTGACGACAACATATCATTCCGTTCTAACAGATACAGGCTGGTAACTGACATGTTTTTACTCCATCATCTGTCATGTAAGATAACTTAAACCCATTCCTCTCTCATATCATCATAGGTCGGTGTGGCTCTGCTGCTGGCAGGTATAGCAGCGCTAAACCGAGTCCGCATGGAGATTCCATTGGAGAAGGAGAACCAGGAGAAACTAGTGAAGTTCATGATTCGTATCGGCGTGTTCTCCGTGCTCTACCTGGTCCCTCTGCTGGCCGTCCTGGGCTGCTACCTTTATGAGAACAGCTACAGAACCATCTGGGAGACGACCTGGGTCCAGGAGAAGTGTAGACACTACCACATCCCCTGCCCCTACCAGGTAATAGACCCGACTCTGTAGTGCTAAAGGAGCTGTGCACTCTGTTTTAACAGAGACCATCAATAATTTACAACCCGTACTGGTTTTGATAGTTCCGAGTATTATTTGGTTTCTACATGTTGAGGTTTGCATGGAATCTGCTTTGGGCACAGAAAATGTTTTTACTTGCAGTGTTAAAATATGTATTTTTAGTGTCTGTCTTATAGGCTAATAATAGCTAAGCTTGTCTGTATGCATATTTGCTGTCATCAGGTGCTGTCAACAGATCTCACATCTCCTGTAAAACAAATGCACAGTGAAGAGATGGAGGGAAAATCTCTCCTTTTCACAGAATGAATCTTATTTTAAGAAATAGTGATGATGTTTGCAACACATACATGTAGCTCCTCATTTCAAAATTGCATTTAGATTTTCTAACATAACTTTCAAATTAATTGCCAACTGACAGTTTGAGTATTTTATTTTATTTTTTTAAAGGTCATAATTCTGCTTTTAAATGTAAATATTTCCTGGTTTCGTACTTCCTCTGTGACAGTAAATTTATTTTTTGGGCTTTTGGACACCCTGATCGACATTTTTTATAATTTTCTTACATTTTATAGACCAAACATGTAATCAATTAATTGAGAAAATAATTGAGAGTCAGATTAATCAACAATAAAAATAACCGTTTGATGCAGTACTACTCTAACACAATATGGCCATTACACTGATTGCTTATTACACTGATTATTGTGCATGTAATATGTTGGTGTTGCTGAATGCAAACATGATATCTTACAACCCAGAAAGACCCAGATGAATCTTGTATACAGTCACCTGGAGGCTCTGCTAGTAGCTGAGATGCCTTTATTCACTGACGTTGATCACAGTCTGCACAGATGTTTGTACACATTAAATGTACAACTGGGACTTGTGTAAGGAAGCTAGAAGACAGAGCAGGAGGTAACAGCTGGAAGAGGGCTGATAAATGCCAGATGTGTTTGCACACATAGACGTTAGAGAGCAGGATGCTCCGTGAGATTTTGTGTCCTGAAAATGACCGGATACTGTGTGCATTTTTAAACACAGTGTCCAACACAAAGAGCACACACACTCATTCACACAGTCATATGTATGAGACAGTCTAGTAAAGCTCTCATGCTGCTTGTCCTCAGTAGCTGCTTCACAGAGCTGCAGTAGCCTCCAGCATGAGCACACACACTGCAGCTCGTCTGATAGAGCTGTTAATAATTCAAACAGCTCTCGCTCTCTGTTCTTCTGTTCCTTTCAGCCAGGTATCACCTCCCATATGAGCATGCCTTAGCACATCCGCTTTCACCGTTGCGTGTTCAAAGTGGAGTTTGATTGTGGTAGGGACTGAAGGAGTTGCAGGTGTGCCGGGGTGCAGCCTTGTTTGTGTTTTGTCAAGTCAAAGCAAGTTACGCATTCAGTATTCTGTAGCAGTAATAGCAACTCTTGAATCGCTGTCTGTAGTATTTTTTTTTTTTAAAACTTAAGTTAACCGCTGTGACACTTTGACTTCACGGCTTCTGTTTAAAGTAACTGTATGTATGATATGATACAGAGCTACAGCTGTGGGAGAGATGCATGAGATGATGACCACTGAGTTAGATCAGAGCAGTGCTCTTAATCTGTCACGTAAACACTGCATTGTGTAAGGGAGCAGTGCAGTAATCCAGTGTGTGTGTGTGTGTGTTTCTGCTGTAGAGGACTAGGTCAGTGGGGTCAAGCTGCACCACATCACAGTTACAGCAGATCTGAACACAAGCTGCATGTGCTGCCCAGCTGAGTGCTGTGCTGTTACCATACACCACAACAGTGTGTACTGTAGAGATGCCTCGGGTGTAAAATCTCACAAAGTGTCAACTGTCCACCCCACCCCCAACTTCACTATGCTCATGAAAGCACACATGTACAGTATGCATTCACACACTGAGTCGATAACGTGCATCAGTAGATAGCTTTGACTCAAAGTGCACTACTATATTTATCTTAAAAGCCTTCCCTGAGGCTCGAACCTCCACTTTGTGAAAGAGCTCCTGAGTGATGCTCGACCCTCCTCTCCACACACACATACACACAGTCAGATTGGTGGCTGACTCAAGCCACACAAGGTCCTTCCAAAGAACAAGGGGGACGAAGGCTGTTTTCAGTCATACAACTAATTTTAGTCTAGGGTTTAATAAACTACATAGGTCTGATTTAGGAGCCTTAAGCTACCATGTAGATGCAGCACAACTTAGGACACACAGTCTGTAATGAGGATGTTGGTTGTTCTCATTCAGTCTCTTATCTCTCTGCCGTAATGAGTGTATCTGTGGATCTCTGGGCCTAGGGGCTCTCCGCCTGGCCCACTCATAATGAGGCCATGATGACTACATCTGTGTGTGACCGCATGAGTGCACGTGTGTGTGTGCACATATGGGAGACAGAGTGATGGGAAGGGAGTAGGAGATAGTATTTCTGTGGTTCACTGTCATGATGTTGCTATGGCAGAAGGCAGCAGTGTGGTGACTCGGCACAGCGTCTGTTATCCACTGGAAATAAATGACCTTGCTCTCGCCGTAATATTTAGTCCCTTAAAAGTTCTGTATGCAAAATTCAGAGCATTAATGTAGCAGGAAACTACTATTTGCTATGTAAAGATATAGTGGAGTAATGGTGTCCTGAGCAGAGAAACACGTTGCCTCTGTGTGTGCTGTAATCCGAGTTTTAGGGGTGTAACGGTACACAAAAATCTCGGTTCAGTACGTACCTCGGTACACAAGTCACGGTTCGTTTTTTTTTTCGGTACAGTAATGAAAAAAATAGACAACTATTAAATATCTTTTACTTATTGGTAACCTTATTAAAACATACCACCACAGCAGTTAACTCTTTTTACACAATTTTTGAATGAAATAAATATATATAAAATCCTGCTTTTTCACATTGTTTGAATGTAAATAGAAATATAAAAGTGAAAAATAAAATCCTGCTGTTTTTTTAACACATTTTTTGAATGAAAAATATAAATATAAATTTCTGCTTAAACAGTTTTACTCAATTAAAATAAAAAGTATAGTATGTACATGTACCGTTACGGCCCTACCGAGTTTCTCTGTTGTCTGTTTAAATACACAGTCTGACTGCCTGTGCATGTTAGTGCATGTGTGTATCCCACTGGCTAGCTAACTGCAGCCAGCTCTACACTCATACAACAGTGAGCACAGCATCTCTGAAGCATCCACCTTGGGTTCCCCCCTCTGTCAGCACTGTTTCAATTGTTTAGAGCTCTTTTATGGAGTTAGCATCATTAGTTGCTAGCTGCGAGCTCAGCCATCTCCATGTTGAGAATTGTGTGCAGACAATTCATTTTATGTAGAGCCCATTTAACATGAGTTTTATTCACAGTTGTAATAACCTTAAGCTTTAATTACCACAAATTTGATCAACCTTGCAGAATTCACATTTGTCAGGTTCTCTTCCACCTCACAAATTGTACAATGATATAGTTAACAACTGGCTGTTTTGTAATTTGAGGATATTCATGGAGTGAACATTGTCAGAAACCTAATATCTGTTAAACCAAGGCTTACTTTATACTGCAGTGCTCAGTGATTGTCTCTAATACCATAGACTGACCATGAAAGGGAGGTGTGATAAGACAATAAAGAGAACTCCAACAAAGGACAGCAACAGAACAAAGGCTCTCATTTCAAGGAGGACTATTAGTTATCAGCTGCCATGTCAGAGATGGATGACAGTGTGTTGTCTGCTGTGGCGTTTATGCCTCCAGCAAAGCTGTCAGTGATGATATAGAGTAGACACACACACACAGTGGGAATGCAGTCTGAACACACTCTGTCAGCAGGCGTGAACCTTTTAATTAGTTCATAGATGCTGGTGTTTACATGCAGGACTCAGTGACTGTCTGTTGCCCTGTAGGGCAGCGTCCACTGTGTCTGGACGTTTGGTCGCTAACGTTCTGCAGATGAAGTGGGAAACACAACAAAGCATATACAAACTCTACCTTTGACATTAGTAATGTTTTATGTAATATCTAGGTTTGGAAATAGGATGTTGTTGCTATGCAACCCACTTTAAGTCAGTTCTTCCTCAAACAAGCTCCACACACACTCACATACACACTGCTGCCCTCAGGTCGTACAGTATGTGGGTGTATTTGCTGTAAACTTTCTTTGCTCTCACTCACTCAGGGATTGATCTATATTTCTTTCAGCGCTGTCTCAACCACACCCACACACACACACACACACACACAAATCTACATCTTATACACAAACCACACACCCTCGTGTGTGTGTGTGTGTGTGTGTGTGTGTCTCCTGTAGGTGGAGCGCACCAGTCGTCCTGACCTGGTCTTGTTCCTGATAAAGTACGTGATGATGCTGATCGTAGGGATCCCCTCAGTGTTCTGGGTGGGCAGTAAGAAGACCTGCTTCGAGTGGGCCAGCTTCTTCCACGGCAAGAGACGCAAAGAGTACGTACTTTCCACACACTGACTGTCCTCAGCATGTTCTCTAACACACTGAAAGCTAACAGGCTGTTTGTCAGGCCGTACACTCCACTGGCACAGCTTCACACAAGTTGGTTTTAAATAAATGGTGCTAAATATTTTAGTAGCAAACTATCTTTAAAAGGTTTCTTAAATAAGTTTTGTCCCAGTATTTTTAACTTGAGCAGAATGCAGAGTATTTCATCTCTTTGTAGTGATAATAACATTTAAAAAAAGATGGTGGATTTTTTTTAATCTCATAATGTATTCTATCTTAATATGCTAATTTAGCTCAGAATTTGTTGGGAATTACAAAATATTTTAACTTTTATATAGTTAATACAAATCTATGTTACTGTAAAGCACTTTGTGCTGCATTTCTTCAGTGAAGTTATTATTGTTACAGCAAGGGAATAGAATAATGTGAAACTTAAAATAACATAAAAATAAAATAAATTCAATGTGAAGTGCGTTTTCATATGTATGTCATTGAATCTATTTTATAACTTACCATTGATTTAGTAATTAATTTATAAACAAACAGGACTCCATTTATTCATTAAACAAGTTAGTTAAAAGAAGAGTAAAGACCCTTCCTAACAGATTTGGATTGAAAGAAGTGGTCACCGTCTCCCATCACCTCTGAGCTTCAGTATCCTCAGCTTCTGCTTTAGGTTTTATGCACATATCAAACCCGTCTCTCTCGACACAGTTGGCTCTTGAATGAAGGCAAAATGCAAACATGGATTTTATAATGATGCTTTCAAATCCTTCCAAAACTTGATTCCACAAGTGATGGAAGGAAATGAATTTAACACATAAGTGGGGCATCAAGGATACAAACAGGAGACACTGTAGATATTCAAATTGTGATTATTTCCTGTCACTGTAAGCACAGGCCGGTGGGGGAGACATGGACCAGACCGGTACTGATCTCACTGGAGCTCAGGTCTCTGTCTCGCTCACTGTCCTGTGAGCAGGTTGTCACATGACGCAGCAGTGTGTGTAGGTGTGTGTGGCTTGGTGGTGAACACTGGCCCTTCTCTGCGCTCACTCCCCTCCCCTCCAAACTCAGAGCATTAACCCCCTCTCCCACCGCCTGCTCCACGCACTCCTCCATTCTCTTCTACCACACCCACAAACCCACCACCTTCCCCCTCTCCCTCCCCACCCTCCTGCGTCTCTCCCTCCCCTCCCTTCCTCCACTCTCCTCCTCCTCCACCTCCTTCTCGTGCTCCACTCCCTCCCCGCCCTCCTCCTTCCCCTGCTGCAGTGGGATGGTCAACGAGAGCCGACAGGTGCTCCAGGAGCCCGACTTCGCCCAGCTGCTGCTCAGGGACCCCAACACGCCCATCGTGAGGAAGTCACGGGGCACGTCCACCCAGGGGACCTCCACCCACGCCTCGTCCACCCACCTGGCCATGCTGGACGAGCCGCCGAGTGCCAGCACCAGCCGGGCCGGCTCGGTCCGCAGTGCACGCTCCAAGATGAGCAGCTACCACGGCAGCCTGCACCGCTCTCGAGATGGCAGGTGGGTCTCATATCTGTCAGATGTGTCCACAGTGCTGCTCTGTCTTTGTCCTCTTGTCCACAGAGAATCCTGCTCCTGATTCTCAAGTTTCTTTTTCTTTGTGCCAGATATACGGCCTCCAGTTTCCGGGCTGCAGACGACCGTCTGCCCTATGGAAGCATGCCTCGCCTCAACGACCAATCACAGTCGAGACACTGCAGCACCAATCGCCTGGACAGCCTGTCACGACACGGCTCCACCCAACGACTTGAAAGCCAGTCGCGGCACAGCAGCATCAGGGACCTCACCAGCACCACCCAAGCTGTTCTCGGTGTCCCTGGAAACGGGATTCACAGAGTCCTGGAGGAGGACGGAGCGACAGCCTGAACAGGGTCTCTGGTTCTCCTGTAGAAGATGTGACTGTATGGGTACAAGTGAAAGTAGGAATGACTTATCTTCTTCTATAAAGTGAAAGAATGTGTGAGGATCCACAAGAAACAGAACGCAGAGAGTCAAAGACTGTGGTGTCCCCTTCTGCTGAATTTGGGAGCTCAGAGCTGAAGCACAGTTTACTGATGACGTTAGCTAAACTAGGGCTACATCCAGCCAGATCCAGAGGACTGAGTGTGGATCGATGCCTTAAAATGTCCTCTCAGCTTTACTCCACCTGCCAACTGATCCCAAAAAACTGAAGTTCACGATGACTTTTGTCCAGGTCACAAACCTACGATGAATTTCACGGTGCTGACCGTGACCTGTGATAGCCAACACTGGAAAATGACGACAAGGCTTCACTGTCGGACCTACGTCACTGAGCCAGAACACAATGTGACCAATACTGAGACTGCACTGGATTGTTTTCTACTCGTACTGTACTTGTTTGTATAAAAGACTGAATGATGGACATCAGACAGGATGAGCCTTCTCTTCTAGTCTGTGCTGCGTAGCACTGGGGAGGGTGGAAGCAGGGTATTTTTTTTAAGGTTTACTGGCTACAACTATTGTGCACCTCTTCAGCCATGTACATGTCCATTATTAATTCACCTTCAAATTTATTTCTGCTAACCTAAAGGGACAGCTCACCCCCAAATCAAAAATACATATTTCTCCTCTTACCTGTAGTGCTGTTTATCAGTTGAGATTGTTTTGGTGTGAGTTGCAGAGTGTTGGAGATATCAGCCATAGAGATGTCTGCCTTCTCTCCAATATAATGGAACTAGATGGCACTCTTCATCACTTTTGGTGCTCAACACTAAACAGCAATGTCTCGCTCCAGAAATCATAACCTGGCTACTCAAAATAATCCACAGACCTTGTTGTAAAAAGTTTCCTGAAGGAACTATTTTCTCTCTTTTCCAAACTACACCTGACAGGCATATCACCAAGCAGAAGGAAACGTGCATCTATTCATGGAAGAGGCTTAAATTGGTGACAGCGAGAGATAAAAACAATGGCGTCCTCTTCAGCTGAGCTGTAACGTTAGCTAGCTCAGTGGTGCTAGGTGAGCTAGCAGTAGATGCACACTTCCTTCTGCACAGCGATACAGTTGGAAAGTTTCTACATGAAACTGCCCTACAGCAAGATTTGTGGATTATCTTGAGTAACCAGGTTATGATTTCTGCAAAGAGACATTGATGTTGAGTTTTTCAAATGTAGCTTTTTGGCACTTTGAGCACCACAAGCTGAGTGCCATCTAGTTCCATGTATATTGGAGAGATGGCAGACATCTCTACAGCTGATATCTCCAACACTGCAAGTCACACCAAAACAATCTAGATTGATAAACAGTACCACAGGTAAGAGGAAATTGATTTTGGTATGAACTGTCCCTTTAACCTGCTGATGCCTCTCTTTATAAAGGTAATTTATTCACACCTGAGTTGAAACTGTACATGAAAGGTAACAAATGAGCAAGATGTTGAGGGAACAAACGACCTCTGACAAGCACTCTCTACAAATACTGTACACAACTCCTGCATTTTACATAAGCCTTGTCTCATTTTAAAACTTGTTTTTTTATTGCGGTACTCCATTACTTTGGTGTAATGACATATGTAAAGATAAGAGGAAATAAGTCTGTTTGCCAGAACACAAGGGCTGAAATACAGGAATAAAGCTGAATCCAAACTCCTGCCTTATGACTGTGTTTAGACAGAATGCTAAGCTCATTTGACAGGCTGTGTGATTAGAAAGTGGAAAGACACAAGTAAATATTTTAACTTGAGTGAAAAATGTGTGTCTGAGGTGTCTGTCGCTAGCTAACGTATGTAGCTAGCTGGTAGAGCTGCTGAAATGGTTGAGCGGTCAAATTTGCGTAGCGTTCTGTCTGAACACACCTTTACAGTTTGAATAGATAGATCGCCCTTAGAGTCAAATTCTTGGTAGTTTGTCCTGTTTATAAATGTGTCCTTACTTGTATAGCTACTGTAAAATGTTAGCGCAACATTTCCTCTAGTGGCAAAACCTGTATAGATGTAAAAACTGAACTTTTGTTGTTGATTTGTAATAAAGTTTTTTTTAAAAGAGCGGACATTTATCAGAGTTAATGACCACACAGTAACACACTGGGTTTGTATTTGTAACAGCCCTCCGCTTTATTGAAATACATCGGAGTCAGGTTAATATAATGAGTTCTCCACATAAGTGTGGCAGCCAGTTCCATACATTATTTTTTGTTTTGACCTTACACCTTAAATATTTTTTTTGTGCAAAAAAGAATCTACATCACCTGTAGTGGGTTATCCTCAGTAAAACGCCCAAACCGTTCAAAAAGGAGCAAGTCCAAGTAAAACAACAAACCGAAAACAAAAATGATTACATCTATAACATGCAAAACTGTACAAATTATTACAAAGCAATCCTAGAAAAAAAAAAAAACACAAGTGTAATATGATATGAAAGAGCAAAATAATATAGAAGGTACTGTAAATAAGACCTCACTGAAATGCAAAGGCGTTTGAATTTTTTTTTTTTTTTTAGATTTTCTTCCTTGTAAATGTTACCACTGTGGCACCTCAGCCATCAAACCACCTGTCACCCGTCACCCCTGAAAACATTTCTCTTACATCTTCTAGTCCTCTCCTCCTTTTCTTCCTGCTGTCTCCACCCAGGTCACATCTACTGTACATCATGTGTCCCTCACTCACTCGCTGCAGCCATCCACCCATTACACAAACTCATTTTCATCTAAATGAAAATGATTCATTGGTTCTGACGTTTCCTGAGTTTCTCTTCCCCTCTCCTTATGCTGGGATGTCTACAGTCACTTCTGTACAATATGGGCCAATAATAAAACACCTGGCTGAGTCGCCCCTGTCGTACATTCTGCAGGAACTAAGGAGACTCACGAGCTTCATGTTTCTACGAGGTGGTTGTTTGGAATAAAACCAGCTGGGTCGCACTGTGGTGCTCCGGACCTCTCCCTCTCTCTTCATATAAAATGGAATACTAAAGGAACACTTGGAATGGGTTGTTTAGAGCTATGCTGTGTTTCGACAGGGGAGTCCAGGCGAGGAATGACCACCAAACTACTTGTTTTTGTTTCCCTTTCTCACAAACAAGACAAGCGGAATAAACCGGAGGATTCTGGAGGACACTGTACTGTAACTCTGCACCGTCACCAACAACAGGCCAGTATTAGATTACAATATGTGCGTTCTTCTTACAGATAATACCACATTGTGACCACGGTGTAGTTAGTGTTTCATGTCAGGACAGTTTGCAGGTCCGTGAGCATTGCTCCGTACAGTTTAACCTCGTCCTGCCCTGTGAAGCGATTTCCTCAAGTAAAATGCTTTTCTATCTGTGTGTGAGCTGAAGGAGATGAACAGAGGTAACAGGTTTTTGGCTGTGAATGCCCTGCTCTGCAGCCAGGAGCTGCCACACCGTATAATGCTCTTTCAGAGGCCTCTCCACCCTGCCAAAGAAACACCGCCTGCAGGGAGGGGTTACAGATCCAGCCCTGTTCATTTTACAGACAACAGGTAGAGCAGAGGTTATTTTATCTGCGCTTCATCAAGACAAACGGTGCTGATTTTTAAGTGTTTACATTCTCATTTAGTGTTTTTTTTTTTTTTTTTAAATCAAGAGCTCATAAACGTTGCTTTTTAATCGACAAATCAAGCAAACCTTTCTCAGAATATGCAAAGGCTGTCAGAAAGACTAAACAATGTCCCTCTTTTTGTCCATTTTTGGTTAAATCAAGCTCAGCAGAATGACTGATCTTCCCATCCAGGTACCACAGCCAATTTAGAAACACACACACACACATTAAGTGTTGATTAAATGATCGGAGCCACTTCCCCTCTGACAGTCAGAGGAGGAGCAGGACAAGGCATTTGCTGCATAAAAACACCACCTCAGTATGTGTGTGTGCGGATACATGTGTGATAAATGCACGTGTTCACTCTACAGTACGGGCAGTAGTGTCGATCCATACATGAGATTTCTTCACTCAAACGCAAACCGAGTGGGGAAAAAAAAAAAACACACACACACACACACACACACACACACACACACACACACAATGCGTGTCGTACATACAATATAAAACAAATCTAAAATCCATCGGTAAAAAAAAAAAAAAAGAAACTGGAAAAGTGGTTTAAAATGGCTTTTTGTGTGAATACAACCCCAAATCACTCAGAACAAAATAAAAAGGAAAATAAAAGTCAAAGAGGATTTTTTTTTTTGTCTTTCCCGTGTAGTTCTCTATAGTATTTTCCTTATCATATATTACTCTCTACTTTGAACCTATGTACATTATTGTGATGGGAACCTGTGAGTTGGTCAGTTTGGTTGTACAGCAAAGTGGAGCGTCTACACTACAATGGAGGACACGTCCAGGGCTGCTGGATGATGTCGCCTGCACCGGATCCAATGAGGAAGAGAGTAGCACAGAGGAAATGTGATGTCATACGAGCCGGCATTATCATTATTAACGCTGCTTGTAGCTTTTTGCTGATGGTCAAAATTAAAAATATTATAAAGTCACTGCACTTAATATCATGAGCAAAAGAAAAAAAAATCATTGCTTTCCTTTCTCTCTTTCTGTCTGTCTCTCTTTTTTTTAATATTTTCAATTTTTGCAGCACCCAAAGAGAAAGCAAAGGAGGGAAGTGAGGAGGGGTTAAACTCCACCCGTCTGATTCAGGCCATGAAGCAAACCTCCCTTTCCTCATCTAAGATTGATAAATAAATTAAAATATCGTCCCCTAAAACCCAAAGGGTCCTATGTACAAGTACAAATCATTTTCTCTCAGTAATAATCCTCTTCTCTTTTTGTTGCATCGTGAGGTTTTAGAGTCTCTGAATGGGGCCGTGGACAGGGTGGTGTTGACGGAGCTCGACGCTTCGGTTGATAGCAAAAAAAAAAACAGCCGAGTCGGGAGGTTCTCATTCCTATATCATATGCCCTTTCTGAATAAACACATGCACACACGCTGGCGAGCGCATACAGCTTCTCTCAACACACACACGCACGCACACACATTTGCACCCTCACACATCAGCACCCACATGTACACTCCTTTTACGTATCTTCTCCCTCAGGATTTCCCTCAAAGACACGACACACTCTTTCTCAGTGTTTCTGCCCCGTCTTGGAAGTATGATGAGAGACAAATTGAGGTTGTAAAGTGGGACAAATGTTTGTCAGGAGGTGCAGTTCTCCGGGCAGTGAGGGGGGAAATATTCAGAAAGGATGCGAGAGGCTGCGGTGGAGGAGGTGGTGGGGGGGAGGGGAGGAGGGAGAGGAGTCCTGTGCTGTCGGTCGGTCGGTTGGTGGGGTTGAGCAAGGCGAGAGGCTGGCGGAGGCTCATGTGTCCCAGCCCATGCGGTCTGTGCTCTCCAGGGACAGGGACTTGGTCTTGTGTGGGGAGGCCGGACTGGGGGGGCTGCTGAAGGTGGAGCTGTTGGAGGCCGTGGAGTGACGGGGGGAGTCCGAGTCCTGGAGGAGGAGAGCGGAGGAGGAGGGAGTTGGAGATGAAGAAAGAATGTGAAGTTTGGGGGAAAGAAAAGAGACGGGGGAAAGCACACAAATTAGATGATGTAAGACGTACTTTACAAGATATATTACAGTATTTGTAATTTAAATTCAGGAGACTGGAGACTACGTGTCTGCGCGGGGGCTGATACAGCTATAAAATAAGTGACTACGACACTGTATATTTTAAATGACTCCTCCTGTCTGGGCTCTCATTAGGGGGATGATGGCTCACTGCTCTACGCTGGCTAAGCATGCATATTCCTAGTCCCAACCAAATAACCTTTCTCTCTGCTGCTTATTAATCTGCTGTTTTGGGTGGAGGACAGATGTAGCCAGTCAGATTGAATCACATTGCTCCCGCCCCCACCTCGTCTTCCACTACATTCCACATCATCAGCAGATGAACAGCTCAATTGACCAGAAATGATCAGCTGAAGGAAAACAAACATGCAGGCAGGCCAGATGAGGGGGGATGTGGGTTAGACCTTCATACTGTGCGACACATACAGTATGACTCACATCCTCGTGTGCTGAATTTAACCAAAAGACATGATACCTGCTACTCCTTTCTTTCTTTAACAAATGAAGGTTTAT